AAAAGGATCCAGTACATCCTCTTTGAAAAGTCTTTCAATTACGCGCTAGTCAGCTCGAGATGATGCATGTCAGGCTCTAAAACATCGTTGGCAAAATGTTTTAGATGCCCTTCAAATTATATCTGATGATTCTACGCAAAAACCGCCAACGCGTGCGGAAGCTAAAGGTCTTATTTTTGCTTTAAATCGACTTGAAACTGCTATTATGACCGAGGTTTGGGATTCATTTTAGACCGCTTGAATGCGTCGAACAAATAACTGCAAAAAGTCGATATCGATTTACGTTCCGTGGTTGGTATTTACACTTCGCTTGTAGAACTTTCAAAAACCAACAGAGACAATTTTGAATTTTTTGAAGAGAGGAGTAAGAAGCTGTCAAATACTGAAACGTACGAATCGGAAAACGTAAAACACATAACTGTAACGTATTAAGGTATTTAAGACACGCAAACCAGACACGGAACTTCACGCGCACTGCAGGTACGGTTCCGCATGACACCGACTGACTCAGAATCTGCCACCCCAACCATGAAAGTAGCGTATATGAATTGAACAAAAACTTTATTTTTAAATACATTTTATGCGTATTGATTCTAATTATCTTACAGGTGCAATTTAAATGTATTTGTATTAATAGCAAAATACGTTACGATACGGTATGTATAAAAACTGTGACGAGGATAGGACAAGAACGAGGAAGGGAAGATCGCGCGCGGTCCATGGTCTGTTTGTTAGGGCATTCGCCTGGTGTTGATCGGAGAAACCAGAGGAAACTACCAATCAGAGCAGCGGACCGCTAGAATTCTCTTCCAGACAGCGTCTGAATTCGACCTAGCTGACAAGCTAGTGTCTAAAATCGTGCCATTGGCAGGACTCGAACCTAGGTCCTCCCGTCATAGGCACTGCAGTGACATCAGTTGATGGACTGAACCACCTCTTCAGGTGAGAATATTTTGAATTTTATTAAAATTGTTATTTTTTTAAAAGTATTATTTACGGTATGTATTACGTTGAATGAATAATATCAAAATCAGATGTCAGAATAGTACACAAGGACGACACAGCATTGTTGTGCGTCGTAAAATCTGAATAATGTTATCATTGATATAAGTATTTCGAAATAATTTTTCCACGTAGAAATTTCTCAGACGGAATCTCGCAAGAGCGGTGTCTTTCTAGCTCATATGAACAAAACAGACCTGAGATAGAATTGTATGTTGGGCAAGCTAACGTAACATGCACGTCGTAACATAACGTTGCAGTCAATCGATGCATTTTATCCCTTCGGCCAGGGTCACGGTGCCGTTAGTAACCAGATCTCCCAGACACTGAGAATCCGTGGTGTCTCGAATTGCTTAAATTCCGCTACTTCACGAAAAGTAGTTACACAATTCGGCTAACGGCACCAGCTTAATGTGTGAGGCACATTTCCTAAATGTAAATCGTTTGTGACATCCTTTTCTCTTCGGAGTTAACGCTCCATTCAACCACAGAACAGAGAGCAGACAGAATGGAATCTTCAATGCATTCCGCGCGCCACATTCACGTTGTTTGACATATTGAAACGGAGTAAACTGCTGGCCACCTGGAACAGCACTGTACTCGGTGTGCAGCTCGTCGCCACTGTGTTGCTGGCCTATTTTTGTGGTAGCAAATTTTGTGTGAAGTAACATGTACATTTTAAATTTAATTCATCGCGTACATTCAATTCGTACATATTTTATAATTTGTTGTGTGTTAGTAAGAATAAAAGTGGACGATAATGTATTGATTATTTCTTGACCATTGGTACCTATTTCTTTCATTGAAATAAACATCCTCACCACAAACGTAGAATAGAATAACTTCAATTTTTAAAACATATTTTGTTCGTAGAAAATTTTCTTAAAACATCAGTAAAGAAACATGTTTTATGGAGGTGTAGTATTCTATATTGGTTTCCATGTGCAAGTAACGTATGAGTAATTACTCGGTTTTCGCATGACCGGTGCATCCTTGCCGTCTCTCGAAGATTAAAGGAGACTCCATCAAATATCTATACTTTCCATTCTGTGGTTCAATTTTGCGTGAAGCAGGTGCAACAATTAAAAGACTCACACATTATTATAGATGTTTTAACACAACTTGGACATCTTTGCGACATTTTTCGTAATGCACTCCGATCAACACTGATAGAAAAAAACACCATTCATCTACGGGAACGTCTTTGCCCCAACTAAAAATGACGCGACATCTATTTCTGGATAATTTTGTTTAACTTGATCTTGTAAATCGATGCTTGATAACAATCAATGGCTGAAAGCGCAAATGTGGATTCTAGACCTTTCACCCTCAAGGGTATGTGTTGGGTCAATTGGGCAAACCCTCAGTTAAGTAAACCGTCACACGCCGCGATGCAATAGAGTTCAAATGAGAGAGATTGCCGCACAGATTCAACTAATATTATATTACGTAATCGTTAGTCTTGAGAAAGTGTGTGCTGTTGTAGCACAATTAGTTACAAAATGTGATACAAAGTATTATCAATCATTATAGGAACTTTTTAAATTGTGCTAAAGCGTATGCCGTAAGATTGTTTCTAACTCCTCTAATACATTTAAACTTGATTTGCTGTGCGAAATAAAACAATTTTGGGATCACTACATTTCTACTTATTTTTCAGTAATTGAAGTAATATTCCAGTAAAGGTACATGCCCACGAGCGTTGCGTTGACGCGCGTCGTAGAATAACACTATCTTGTGCGAAGCGGCAAACGAGCATTTTGGCTCGGCTCTGCTAGCGAGTCACACGTGTGCCGTTCCGCATAAAAGTATTAATGACACATGCAGGAACCATTCACTTCCTCTCTGAGCTCTCTGTTACCAGAGACTGGAACGTGGTTGTGAGAGCGTGAACTAGTCGAATACTCACCTTATTTCGAGGTATCCTGTAATTACAGGGAACATTTTCTGGAATTCGGTAGCGCAAGCCTATGGGCATCGGACCACCCACCACGACCCGGGTCAAACCTTGACAATACCCAATTGTTAAAGGTCTAAAGAATACCTATTTCAAGCGGCCTGGCGGGACGGCATAGGGCCGCTCGGCTCTGCTAGAGAGTCACCCATTACAAATGCCCGGCACAGGATGCTATTTATTCCATTGGACATGGAGAGGAATTGACGGAATTAATTTAGACGAGGTATTGATATTGGCTACGGAGGAAGAAGAGTGGGATCAAGGACAATGTTACCAGTGGAAATATACTGTAAACTAGATTAGTGTCGAAACAGTCGGGGATTTTTCCAAAACGAATGCACTCCACTTAATTACACAACTTAAGACAAGCCTGCCTGGTCCCGTGGGTAATCTACACTTACGAGCTGACCGTCTGCCCGTGAGAGAGCCGAAAGTGCAAGTAGTAGGGGGTAGGAAGCTTTGCGGGGGGAGAGAAGAAGACTGACGGGGAGATCAGAAAGACGACGCGGGGCGTCAAATGCCCCGCTTCAGAGGGCAGGGCAAAATATGTCGTAATAACTTTTTAAGATCTTGGCTCTCCGGATGCGCCGCGTTGAAGGCTGGCCCACTCAGCCCACCCCAACCATATATAAACCAACCTTACATAAACACTAGCGCAGACCAGCCCTAAGGAAGACCGAACGAGATGGTCGAAACGTCGGCAGCCCAGTCTTCAACGCGGAGTAACCCGGACAGCCACGATCTCAACTCTGGCCGCGGAAGCCTTCGACTTCACGTAATAACCTTTTTCCGTAAAAGGTGCTAAGGTGAATGTAGACATTTTAGTCCATCTTTTCTTAAAGACGTTGCTTCATCAATGGATCAAAAGATGCACCTATTGGAATAATTTTAAATCTTTCAAAAACTTTCGTCATCGATCTTCCCTCTCAAAATTAGCTTCATATGTGGAAATGCCCGAGATTGGATATCCTCGTGCCTTAAATATCGATTGCAAAGAATAGAAATACCGGGCTGGAACGAAAGAACATTATTTACTTATCTTTCAATTCTTTGCCAATTGCGGATGGGTTCCTGCAGGGTTCGTTCTTAGCCCCTGTCCCCATTCTTTTATATCTTATCAATGCCGTCGTCCATTAGAAACGGAAGAACAAGTGTTTGCTGGTGACACGAATGTTAGTACGATTTCACTAGTATCAAATTGGAATATTGGTCTCTCATATGGAATATTGATAAAACAGAGTTAAACACTAAATTAAGTTCATTGTTATGCATTCAGAATTCTTTCAAATTCTGTCTGCCTTCATGCAGCTCGCTGCATGTATTTTGCAAATGTGTATTCCTGCATGTGATATTGAGTAATATTCTGGCGGTACTCATCCTATAGTACCCAGACTTTGAGATTGCAGAAAAAAAAATGCAATAAGCAAATGCCACCCATATGATTCCTGCAAGCCTCTCTTCATTGAGCTTGGAATCTTAGCATTGCCATATTTATTTTTACAAAACTATATTTTTTTTGTAAAAAACTGACTTACTTAACAGTGGGAACATATTTTCTTGCATTACTGATGTTGAACATATGTTGTAGAAATCACATGCACCAGTGTCACTATCAACAGATCATTATATGGAATTCACAAATAGTCTAGAAAGGAGGGGTTTAATAATGGGGACTCAACTCAAAATCTGAGTGTCCTATTATAAAAGGTTCTCGCAGTCATGTACAACAGTGTGTTAAGTCAGCTGATGTGGGAGCTAAGAGAATATCTGCAGAATAATATTTGATATTTTGTGTCTGAATACATAATGATTAAAACTAGATATTGAATTTTTCAAATATTTTCAGTACAAGCAAGCAGTATGAGAACTTTTGAAGGTGGTTTCATTTCGTGTGCAAATTATGCATCTGGTGTGTTATGGACCTATAACAAATATATTTCCAATTTAACGCCCGAATTTACACATTCATGCTTTAGAGGATGAACTTTCTTTGTTTTCATTATTTTATTATTAAATTTTAGTTTTTTTAGATCTTTAGTATCATTAACAAGATGTCATTATCTCCCTTCATGTTGAAACATACCTAATTTTCCAGGATAGGAAGGATTTTCAGTATATACTGTACAATCTTGAGAACAATTAAAAATGAAATATATTTATAAATGTAATATAAATAAATTTTCTTTATATAAAATTACTAAAGTCAGTAATTCATTCATTTTTATAAATATAAGCAGTATTCATGAAAATTTCATCTTCAACATTAGCCAGGGTATGGTTAACAGCAAACCACCTGTAAGGTATGTGGGAGTAGAACCAATGCTCCAATACGCTGAAAGAAAAATAAATGAAAAAAAATTAATATACATAGTATGATATATTTTAAAAATTTTCAGATTTTATTATATAAATATCGAAGGTCTATTCATCTAACACAACATTGAGGGAATTTTACATAAATGTTACTGACAAGAGAAAATGTAGCTCCTCTAGTTTTACCTACTTCCTTTTGTGATTCAACAGACTTTTCTCACCTAAGAATTCGCTAACCCATTAAGAAATTACTGTCATGTGGTTATCCTCCTTGTGTTCCCCTACATAACTTGCAATGCAAGCCCTATGAGGTGGATACCATTACAATATAAAAAAACATGAACTCACCAACTGAAGCAATAACAGGACCTACTGCACGTGCCAATGCACCTAATGATCTGAAAATGCCCATCACTGTACCCTTCTCATTATTGGAACCATACTTCGACACAAGAGTGGTGATACATGGCACAACCATCGCAGTCGCTGAAAAAAAAACTTTAGTAAAAAACATATTAATCAATTTTTACCAACTTCATTATCTAATTAACACTGGTCAACAGCATTTCTGTCACAAAGAATGTGAATGGAGTACTTAGCTAAGACTTTGGCAATGAATTCAAATTTGAAATAAGTTTTTGCCTATCAGGCTCAGTTTTCTTGTGACATGCTATTTCCCATCTACGGAAATGCTTGAAAATGCTGCAAATTGGTTATTTTACTGTAGCTTCACCAAATTGTTCTCCAGATGTAATTGTTCAGGAGCCTCAATGTGTACAAGGAATTTCTATACACGACACTGAAATTAGAAAATTCACCTCTAGGAAATGAAAATATGCAATGTTCCCTCCAAGTCATTCTCGAACAGATAGAATCGAGTTGTTTCTTGCCAGATATTTTCGAGGATTGAGAGATCCGACAGCGAGAAAGTGTCTTGAATGTGACTCCTTGTTGTTCCAGGCTCGTGAAGGTTTGTGCTTTGTATTAACTCAGAAGAAGAAATGTGTCTTATCTGCACCCAAATTATAACCCAAATTCTTTTTGTTCTATCTGTGGAGAATCATCTCTTAAATCATAAAAACGGACATTACTTCTATGATAAGGAAATGTTACAAACTTTATGTGGTAGGCTGGCAACCAGGACAAAAAGTGCGCCCAAAATTTAGTATAAGTACTGTATTTCGTGTGTTACAGTCCTGACATACTAGGTAAGTTCATCACATATGCTCTTTGCTGTTCCCATGATTTGGGGGGAACCAACTGATCAATCAAAACACTCATTTCTGTCTGACAAAAATTGCTGAATCATCTCAGAAACGAAGAAAACTGTGAAATACCCTAATTTACCATCCTACCTAATATACCATCTGCTATAAGGCCTGTATGTCACAGTGAAGATTTGCCGGATACCATTACCGCCTGAGAATGTGACAGTGAATGAAGATGAATGCTACAGTGACGAAAGGAAATAGGAGATATCCATGCTGACCCAACATTTCGAGACTCAAATGAACCACATTTTGGGTCACAAGAGGATCTCAACAATTTTCGTGATTTAAATTTGTCGAAGCAACAGACCGTGCTCTTAGCAAAAGGATGGAATCTTCTCTCCCCTGTACGAAAGTGTTTTTCGTGATTGCCAAGTAGGGTTTTTTTTTTCTTATTTTTTCAATATATTTCTCCAAGAAGAGTGACGTAGCTTCTTGTAATGATATTGAATCCGATATCTTGGTAGTGATTTAAATATAATTGAACGGTGCTTGTTCATTGATTCTAGCAAAATAAGTCTGAAAGCAGTACTTCTTCGCAATAAGAACAAATTGCCTTCTGTTCCAATTGTTCATGCAATTAATCTGAAGGAGACATATGATAACTTTTAAACTACTCCTCGCACTTTAAAAATATGAGAAACAGAAATGGAATATATGTGGAGATCTCAAGGTAATCACAAAAGGACGTGACGACGACGTGAGTGTGAACAGTTTGCTCCTGTTTTTACTGGAATATTTATTAATCTATTTATATTGAGTCGGTGACCTGTGTGTTCTTAGGGTGCCAGGTTTGCACACTACTGTTTGTAGGCGACGATAGTCAATTGATGTCCCGCTGTGAAACTTTTTCGATTTTTACCAAATCCTAACCTCATAATTGAAAAGTGAACTTCCAGGGGACCTGAGAGGACACATCAGGAAAGTTCAACGTCAAGAAGGAAAGTTGTAGGGAAGAATTCGTCTACTGCTCGGATCCTCCAGGAAATGGAAGAACGAGAGCTACGAAAGTGTAACGTCATCGTATATGGGTGTCGAAGAGTCCCACTTTAGCAACATAAAGGTACGTATCAATGAAGATCTGGAGGCAGTGAAGAGCTTGAATATATTGAAAGCGAAGATATGAATTTGAAAGCAAAAGTCATTAGGTTTGGAAAGTTAGAGAAAGCAAAAGATTATAATCCCCGACCAATCAAAATTATAATGAAAAATCCTGACGCGGCGAAAAGGATTCAGGTTAACAGTGGAAAAGCACCTCCAGAAATAAAATGACTATACACTAATGCAGAGGGAAGATATGAAAGAACTGAAAGATATATTGAAAGAAAGGTAAAAAGATGATCCAGATTTAACAATCAAATTTATAAAGGGACGTCCACACATTTAAAAGATGGGAAACGAAAAAAGCAGCAGTGACGAACAAACCATTTAATCCCAAACTCTTATACACAAATATATCTTCCAATGTAGCTAAATTTGATTTATTCTTGCTAGAAATTAATCAAGAAACACCATATATTATCCTCACATAGATATGGTTGACGTCAAACATACCAGACTCTATGATAGATAATCCAGGATTTAGCATTTATCGAAATGATAGACTGAATAAACGAGGAGGAGTGGTAATATACATTAAGCGCAAAATCCATGAGAGGAAAGTTATACCATCGAGAGTGAGAACATTTTAGTACCAAGAAGTTGAAGCATTATGGCTGAAAATTACAGTGGGTGAAATACAGTTGGTTATTAGAGCTATCTACAGATATGCGACAGCTGACCTTAGCATTAAAGAATCTAACCACAAACTCTTTCAGATGATAGATGAGGCATGTCTTCAAAATTAACTTCGGGTAATTTTTGGCGATTTCAACTTTCTAGGCATTACGTGGACAGATCAGGAAGCCAGTGACAGAACAGAAGTTGAACGGAAATTCTTGAATTGTTACACCAACTCAAACCTTAGTGAACTCATGAAAAAGCCCACAAGATTTAGAGCACAATAAAACCCTGCATTACTTGACTTGGTAATGACAAAAGATGAAGATATCATTACAGCGTCTTACCAAAGACCAGAAATTGGCTTGAGTGATCATCTGGTTATAATGACGAGTCTACAAATCGATAGTTGCGGAAAGGAAAACTTTACAGCTGATGGAGTCTCCAGATGTAATTATTACAAAGCTGATTATGAGATAATTAGTGCTTATCTTCAAATAAATTTACTAGTTGGGAAAGTAATCGAACTATGACGAATTTTGTGAGATATCCCATCAACTGCTCAGTGCACAGTCTCTAGATATTAAAAAAAATGATAGGAGTTAGGCGGAGAAGAATTACTTTTTCAAATATTTTGCTTAGGATTGAAGGGAGGCTTATAGGTCTGTAGTTAGTAGGGTGGCGATGATCTTTGCCGGGTTTAGGAATCATGGACAAACGGGCTGTTTTCCAGACGGAGGGGAAGTAACAGTTTGAAACAGGAGTTGAGGATGAGTGTAATGGGGTTTATAGCATTCTTTGGAAGGTTGCGGAGTTGGGTGGGACGTATACCATCGGCTCCGGGAGTTTTTGATTGATTTGTCATTGTCACTAGCTGCCCAATTTCCGAATCGTTTGTCATCCAGGTAGTTTGCTGATTGAGGGGTAGGTTAGGGGTTCTAGAGGCGTTCAGAAATACATTTTGGGGAATTGGAATATCGAGGTGGCGGAAACGGTCGGCAGGGGTTTGGGCGAAAGTGTCTGCAATAATTCGGGGGGCAAAAAGTACGGAGTTTTGGTTTGTGTAAAGGGGGGAAATTCGGATTGGGGTATCTCGTACTGCCTTGATTACTTTGTGAATGTTATTGGGGCTGCTCTAGTCATTAAGTAAATCGTATTTGTTCGTTTCGTAATTCCGATGGAGTAAGTGAACTTGTCTTTGAGTTTGTTTTAGAAGTTTTTTGTCCTCGTCTCGTTTGTTTGTAGAATCGTCGTTGTATTTGTCTCTTCAGTTTCATAGTATTATTTCGTCGGGGAGGGTAGGGTGTAGTTGCTGGGTGTGAGTGGTGGTTCGTTTATAGGTGCGAAGGAATGTGTACAGTTTAATTGTGCGATGTTTCATTCAAGAAGACCAACCCTCCAAAAGACCTATTTTAAGATTTTAATCACGAGGTCTGCATAAAGATGTTTCACAGTACTTTCAAAAACAAACTTTTAAATAACAAGCCATAGTAAAGTACTCTCAAGCATTTGATTAGTTATAAATAAAACATAAGCATTGGGTAAACCAAGAACACTTGAAGAAAAATTACATTTTGTAATTACCCTTATGGATTTTATTAAGTTTCCTGTTTGAACCTATCATACTTCTCAATTAACAAGACTCAAAGATCAGATTGTTTACGTGCATTATAAAAAATACTCATTTATTTTGCAAAAGACAAAATTGCTATGTATTCGTCAAAATTATTGTGTATCTTTCAGTTTTACTTCCAACATCACGAGAAATTTGCATGGAAAACTTTACAACCCAGATGCTTTATCTGCAATGATAAATATGAACAAGAAACTAAATAGTGCATAGATATGCTTTGAGAACAGTAATGAACCTGGTTATAAGTACAGTTATATAGTATAGAGTGTGAGAGTGCGCCAAAATGTGCACCTCTCTCCATTTCTTGGCTTTTAGCTGTTGATATAAAACGCGTTGTCGGCCTGTGGATACGCTGCAGCAACGTAGTTGACCATAGCACGGAAGTACAAGGATACACTTGAGCTAGTACAGAACAAAGTTCTAAGGCTCATAGCACGCCCTCCATTTCGGAAACGGTTGACAGTACTGAGTAAGGAACTTCGAGTCCTTCACTCAATGCTTGAGACGGTTTTCGTTTAACGAAGCCTGCCAAGCCTTTCAAACCAACGAAGCTCCGGCAACGCTAAAACAATTAGTTCGAAACGTCGTCACTATAGGGCAAATAAGACAAGCACTCCCCTCTGATATTCTGAGGGCGTAGTGCAATACAAAAGCCGAAATGGTTATTGACTAAGGTGATGCGAACCCACACCAACTACTTACACACAGCAGTAGAACGCGAAATGCGTACGAACTGCAACACCAAAAACACACAAATCTTCGGCTAAGCCGAGAAAAAAACAACCAAATCGGACCTCTCACAATTTCTTGGCTTTTAGTTCAGTCAGTATTTCCTAGGTGCTCTAACAACACTAAAAAATCGTCACTTTTGGCGTTCTGTCAATCTTCTTGGGACACTTAGACAAAGGCTAAAAGAAGGAAATCCTAAATAATTCGGATGCTTGGTAACTGTAGTCAATACTGAACTGTTAACAGGAGGCTGGGATTAATACGGAATAACACATCTAAATGAGTTCATATACACGGACTGAAAATGTTGAAACTATGGAGAGTGACGTTATTTACACAATGAAATAACATACAATGTATATTAATGCATTAATGTACTGTTTGCGTTACATTAATAGGACGGCCAAAGAACTCTAGTTTTAGTGCTGCCTGTGTAACAATATTTATATTTGTATGTGTTGCTGAAAGAAAGTTCTTTCACCCCTTTCCTGATAATTGGTCATTTGCAACGTAAAAGGTTTGAAATGTTCCTTTTATTTCTTAATATTGATTTGTACTGGCTAAAATGTTGCTCAATATCAGAAGTTATGGGGTCCTCTTGAACCTTGAGAACGAGAAAATATACTTACAGACAGCAAATAGAAATAGTCCGAAATACAGCAGAATAGGGGATGACGCCAGACCCACAGAAATAAATGCCGGTATAATCAAGAACAATCCCTAAAACAATAATTAACAATGAGAAACAAATAATTCACAATAAGAACAAAATAAAATGCATATAGGAACAAAATCATTTCAATAAAAATTTGAATCACTGTGTGCAAAAATCCCCTCACGTCCATTTTATACCGTATTCGAATGGCATTGTCTACCCAGTGGACGTGCGGATGTGATCATATGTTATGGATTAAGGAAAATATTTCAAGATACCTAGTCTGCATGGAACTATATAATTACTGTATATTCATTGAGAATTGCTTTTTTTGCTTTGCATTGCATCACTGCTTGCTCTGACAGACATAAATAAATCAAAATACAAAAATATAAGTACTTGGGAAAATTTAACTTGAATGCATTGGAAACTACAATACCATTACCTTATGTATTTCTGTAGGTCCCCCCCCCTCTCTCTCTCTCTCTCTCTCTCTCTCTCTCTCTATATATATATATATATATATATATATA